CTTTCCCTCCTCTTTTAACAACAGAGCTGAAACTCCTAAGTATAGAGTGGTGGGAGAAATTATATCATGTGTGACAAAATTGGTTGACCTGTGGAAGTGCTGAGAACATGTGTTAGTACAGAATCTGCAATGCTCTGGATGTAGCCTGCAAAACCAGCTTGCTCATACTCGTACCACTGCAATCTGAAGTGAGAACAACTGCAGTCTGCACAAGAAAGGAATGCAGATTTTTTGTGTGGAAGCCTGACTGATGTTATTGAACAGTCAGATAAATGCTGCCAAGGCACTGAACTCTGAAGCAGTGCTTACTAGGGTGAAGCAGAGGTTTCTAATATTAGAATAAGAATTTCAGTGCCTATCCCTGTGTATGAAATGATGGGACATGAGAGGATGGCTTGAAGGATTTGAGATATGTGTGTGTGTGTGCATTCCTAGGACTCAGAATGAATTTCTTTGCTTTGGGAATGGGGGGAGAGGGAAGAGAGAAACATTCATTCAATGTTTGTGCTAGATTTTTGTAGCAGAAAATGGGAGATAGTGTATTAAAACTATATACTCCATAACCTGTCCTGAGCTCTGGCAGATAGTTAGGGATGACACTGAGGTTAGAGTGGGGTCTCTCTTGGGGCATCTTTGATCTGTAGTGGCAGATCGTTCTTGAATAGGAAGAAATGTCCCCTGGTATTCAGGAAAAGAAAAACAGAGGGTCTATCACTGGGAAAATCTTGAAGGCTAAAACTTAGGCATAGTGTTAAAGAGGTATTCTGATATCTTTTAAAGAACACTTCCTTGCCCAAAGTTTGGTCACTTTCGGGAGCTGAGCTTTCAGAAATATATTTTATTCTCACATGCTAGGGCCCTTGGAGTTCATGTTATTATAGTAAATGTCTGCTTTTAGAGGCTTTCTTGGCATTTTGTGGGTCTCAGGAACAAGTAAAGGCTCATACTTAAGGCCATGCAATTCAGACTCTGCAGCATCCCAAGTAGGTGGCAAACTTCCAGAAGCTCCAGCTTTTCACAATTTCTTGACCATGAACTAACTTCCTGACCATGTAAGTTATTAGCACTGTCAAAAAAAAAATAAAAAATCTAGGTACACAGCTGGTGTCCTGGAAAAATGGACATTCACTGTGAATGCAGACAATCTACTGCAACATTAATGACCAAAGTGTTTCTGCCAGCTACATGCTGTCACAGGGCTTTTTTTGTTTGTGTTTTTAATCATTTTCACTGGAGTAATGAACAGTTTTAAAATTGCTCAACAAGCCTCACAAAAAAGGGAGCTGGCATTCCAAACCAAAGAGCTCATGTTGAACCACTGGGGCTGTAGCCCTCCCAACCAGTTGAAGAAGTATTTGTCACCTTGGTCAGCCAAAGGTCACTCTCAGGAATATCAATCAAATGCAAAACAACGTGGGTATGAAATCGTAGTCGCAACACCCTGCAAAAAATCCAAAGGGAAATTAGGCATGCAGGGCTGGTCTCCAGCAGGAATTCTGACAACAGGATGGCAGACTGCTCCAGCATGTGGAGATCTGGACAATAACACCAGAGGCCTGCATTTATGCCGAAACTCCATAGCTGCTGCAGTGTGATGTTGGGAACCCATTCCTTCTCTGTGCCCCCTTTACGTCTGATCTTTTTTTAAGAACAGAAATTCTTCAGAGGAGCACATGACAGTTGCCACATGTCCTACCAGACTGGGTCCTGAGCCATGCTGGAAATTGCAGGTGCTGCCTGCCAGGGTGAAACTCCTTCACATGCACGAGCTCTGAATGTGATCTTTGAAAGTCCTGACCACAAGGTGGAGAGTGACAAGTTGTGTCAGTCAGTAGAAAAGGGGATTACTTCACTATGAACAGAAAAAGCTGGGAAATAGCCTCTTTTAGCTGGGCGTAGATGAGAGCTCAGTTTCTCTTCCTACCCTGCTGGAGAGTTACAGTACATACTCGCTTATTAACAATCCCTGAGGTAAAAAAGAAGAAAAAGATCAACCAAATTCCTTTCAAATGAATTGCTAAGGCCCTCTGTGGCTATGAAACTACATTGGTTTAGTTCAGTGGTCTTCAGTTTGCCTCTTTCTACTGTTACGCAGAAGATCCTAACTTAATAAATAAAGCAGTCCTTGTCATAGTAGTGTAGTTCTCCAACCACACCCTGTTTTCTGAGCCAGAGCTCCTGGAATAAAACCCTTCCTAAATAACAGAGAAAGACCTGTCTATAAAGCTTACAGTAGGTGTATTCAGTTCTTAAATGAGCTTATCTGGGGAAGAGAGGAACTAAAACAGGAGCTAAAAAAGCACTGCATGTGACTGCTCATGCTATCTGTCTGTTTTGTCTTTTGTAGATAACACTCCTACTCCACCAGCACCATTTGATCACCGGATTGTCTCAGCCAAAAGGGTGGAGATCAGCAATTACTATAATGTCAATGAGAATGAAATCCTGGGAGGGTAAGTCAAATGAAACCAATCAACATGGAAAACAAGGCACAAAATTAGTCAAGCACCCTGGAGGTGAATGGAAGCCACATGCCTCACTAGACCTGAAGTCAAGGAAGTCTAACAGTGTTTTAGATAGGGGTGACAACAGGAGACTAATTTTACTGTGTGAGTGAATTTTGGCTCCAAGTCTGGCACCAGCAGACTTGGCTTGTATTTGGTATTGTTCTGGGTCAGACAGCTGCCCTCAGGCTTTATGACAGGGCTGCTAGGATGCTGTAATACTTTACATCACGCTGCAGCCAGCAGGACATAGAGACATGTTGTAGACTGCTTTCTGTTGGTGGGTTCCATCCCTGAAAACACATGCATATTTTCAGATAGATCAGCAGGCTAATCTGATAGGTGACCTTACTTGATCTCTCATGCTGACATTGTTTAGGAGAGAGCGATATTGCCATTTTTGATGGCAACGTGGTCTTGAGTAAGGCTTTGTTTCATCATGAAAACTCTCCCTTTGGAGGAGAATGATGAGATTGAGAGGGGCAGATTGTGCATATAAGTGAGTTGTTATCCTCACAGTTTGTTGACTTTCCCAGGATTAGTCACTGCATGTTATGAGGTGAGTATAGTGAATCATACAAGTGGGATAATATCAGCTAGAACAGTGTGTGATTTTGGTGTGCCTAAATGAGTAGCAGCAAATCTAATCTGCACAAGAAAAGAGCATCAATAGAGAAATTGAAATGGAACCCAGTAGGAAGAGGACAATTACCTAGTTTACATTCAGGACTGACACCAGTACCACTGGATGATTTTCTTTTCTCCTTTTTTCCTTAGAGGGAGATTTGGTCAAGTGCACCAATGTGAAGAGAAAGCAACAGGTCTCAAGCTAGCAGCCAAAATTATAAAAGCCAAAGGTCCTAAACAGAAGGTTGGTAGAGTGTGATATTAGTCTTTTGCTCCCCAATGGATCCCACAGTGTTCTTCAGCTACACAACAAACTATGATCAAGTGGCTGAAAATTCTTCATGCTCAAAGGACCATTGGCTCTAGTTCCTTCTTCTCCAGATCTTCTAGTAACTCATCAAAATCCTCTTTTTGGATTTTATCTCTCTCTTTTTTTTTTTTCTTTAGATCTTCTTTTTTTCAACGATGTTCTCAACTCTTTGTGTTTCTTTTTGCCAAGCACACCGTAGCCTTTGCTGCAATGACTTGATTTCACTGTGAGGGGTGTTGATAAGAGGCATGATTTGTGCTTCTCACATCACCACAAATACAGATGAGAAGAATTAGTCTGCTCCGTTTTGCAAACCCCATGGCCATCTGGGGCTTGCTTTCACAGGAAAGACATGCAGAGTGTCCCTTGTGTGACAGCAATATTGTTAATGACATTCAAGGGTGGGATTTGTCTCAGCTAACTGGGGTTGCTAAGGTGTAGCTGTGGCCAAGCTGATCACCAATTATCTTCTGATAGTCAATGAAGACAGACTGGCACCATCAGAGAATGGTTCAGCCCATCCTAAACTGCACACTTAAAATAGTTGGGCTGAATGGAGGGACCAGACTCTCTCCCCTGACTGCAAAGGGAGGTTTTGAGAACTGTCCTGGTCTTCTCATACACAGCTTGATTTAGTATACCTACAGCTGGTTGAACCAGGTCCTTTTCAGCTTCTCTCTTTTCTTTGCAACCCTATGAACCCACTACTTGTCTGTGTGGACACTCTGCTTCCTTTACCCTGCAAGTAGCTTATTACTAAAGTAGTTCCTCACTTGAGGTGTGAGTTCAGTCTGGTAGCTCCTATTAGCCTTGACATCTACCACTGCAGGAGCAATCAAAGGAAACCTTGGGTTTGGTTGCCGTGAATGAAAACATGAAGATAATGTAGATGTTTAGTTCAAACTATGTCCTGTTTCATGTAGCTTTCTTACAAAATAGGCTTCTGAAAAAATACGCATGACTCTTTACAGGATGAAGTAAAGAATGAAATCAATATAATGAACCAGCTAAATCATGTGAATCTCATCCAGCTGTATGATGCCTTTGAATCAAGAAATAACATTGTCCTTGTCATGGAATAGTAAGTGTGTTATTTTCTTTCCCTTTCGGTCTTTACTACTTCTGCTAGAATTGTCCATTTATTTCTTACTTTCTCTTGAAATTAGAAATAAAGCATTGTCACAGTGTAACTGGGGCAAGCATCTTACAGGTGGAATGAGCATATGAAAGATATTCTCAGGAACAACAACAAAAAAGGCATTTTGGAGAAAAGTTTTCCTGTGCAGCCATTTATGCATTTTTCCAGTAATGTGCCAAATTCCTGGTGTTGTAAAGCCACTTCTCCATTTGAAGATAGAGCTGTATTGTGTATCTTCACGTTCATTTCAAGTTTTAATTTGTGTCAGCTAAGAAACAGACATCTCAGAATATCTCCAGTTCTGGGAAGCAAATGAGAAGATATCTTGTACTGAAGAGGAGACAACTTTACGTGTTGTGCCTAATCCTTATACTAAGGTTAATCCTTATACTGGGAGGCTGAATGGACAAACCTGTTTTTTTGTGCTGGTTTATCACATTAATTAGGCACGAAATAACTGCCTGTCAAGTTAAACAGATGTTGTCTTGAGAAAGCCAAAATAGGCATAACTGAAAAATTGAAAGGCATGGAATGAAGTTCAAAGTCCTGTAAGCTTGGCTATTCTGGACGTTCTCAAATAGTCATCCAGACTTGGTATACAAGATTAACATAATACTAAAGGTAAATGTCTGGGTAGCTATGAATGGGTAAGCTGGAGTCATTCTGAAATGTGATGAGAAATTAAGAAGTAATTTTTGTTGACTTCACATAGTTTCAAGTTGAAATTTTGGATTCTGTAGCTCTTAAACTCTGAGGGAGGAGACCGCAGTTCTAAATTCAGATTGTTCAGCACACTGTCTTACTTTTCCACATGACTTCATTCATTTCACTAGTACAATGCGAAGGCTCAAAACAGCATCAGGTTCAAATTTCAAGACTTTCATACCCATCAGTGGAGGGGAGGCTGGACTTTCAGACTTTGAAGAAGTTCAGGCCACTGTGCATCAGAACCCAGTTCTTGAAAAGTTGAAATTGGAGTGCAAGCTCATATTGTAGATGCACCTTACTGAACTTGATTGTGAACAATTAAAATATCCAGTTGGATACATTCTATGTTACTCTAATTGCATGGGATTTGATTTGGACTTCGTCAAAACTTTGTTGTCTTTCTCTCATCAGTGTAGAAGGAGGAGAGTTATTTGAACGAATTATCGATGAAAACTACAACTTGACAGAGATGGATACTATCTTATTCATCAAACAGATCTGTGAGGGAATTCAGTACATGCACCAAATGTACATTCTTCATTTGGATCTCAAGGTAAATAATTGAGATGTATGTTTTATGCCGTGACGGCTGTGGAAATTCTTATTTTTAATGGTAGGCCATACACCTTAGCAGATTCCCATGGCAGAAACAACAAAGGGCTTATTCTGCTTTCCTTAGACCAATGTGTATTTACTTTAACCACTCTGAGATCAGCTAAATTTACTACCAGGGTTAAGTAAATTAGATGAGAACCGTGGTCATACATCATCAAGCCTCACAGCGCTTGCATTTTCCACAAACTGACTTTACAGAAATCCAGCAGCTGACTACAAATGCCTTGGGTTTTTTTTTTTCTCTTTGATTTGGATCTCAAGATATTGTGCAAATATATTATTCAGGTCAGCTGCACAAGATCTGTTTCATGCATAAGGCACAGGATGGGAATTATACCCATTTTTTTACCAAGCAGAAACTGAGGCATAAATGAGTGGAACTAAATTCGTGGGTCATTCAGGATAAGTGGAGACCCTGCACATCTTTCTGAGGACTACACTACACTGTCATTGTCATGAAAAGGCATCAATAGATAGCCATCTTAAGGGAAAATTCATTAAAATGAACTTGCTAAAATAGAAGAAATAAAAATAGACAATATCTGATGTAACAAATACAACATGTCTGTTTTGGGTTAGACAATAGCTACTAGTGCAGCTGAAAGCCCAGAGAAGAACAGCAGATTCTCTACCATGTGCTCGCTTAGTTATCTGATCTATTAAACTTCATACACAAAAAGTTTCCTCATTTCTTTTTAAAAACAAATCCACTGACTGCACATTCTTACCTCTGTTGGGCTGCTAATGGTTAGCTGTCACCCCTTAGGAAGCATTTGTTGCAAAGGTATTTTTCATTCCACTGTACATTGGAGCTGGCTCTTTCTCCTTTAATCCAATATTTTATTCACATAATAGACTTGTTTCTTACCTCTGTTTAGTGCAGGAATAAAATGGGATGATGCCTTTAGTTTTATGACTGACTCTAAAGCTTCCTACTGATCCTCAGCTTTGCAACAAAGCAAAAAGAAAAAGTGCACATGATGGTTTTCTCTTTGGTGAGATTTTTATCACGGCTGCTGTTTTTGGCTTATAATAATGCAGTTAATGTAGTACACCTTTAATATTGTTAGCATACATATTGCAGTGGTTTTGCAAATGAGCAGTTGCTTGTTGGGACCTGCTTCAGTTGCTAATCAATGACCAGGGTCACTTTCCACTTTCTTTATAAACATCCAGTTACCTGGAAACCCATCAAGCAGAAGTTTGCACAGTTCTTTAGGACACATTAATTATGTTCTTGGAGATGACACAGTTTCAACATGAGGTCAAGGTGCTGACAAAAGTTACATATACAGTCCAAGAAATTCTTCCCAGAGACCTCTTTTCATGTGCTTGCCAGCTATAGCTTCTCCCTTCTATTTTGCTTGTTCATAGGTTGCTGTCAGTAACGGATGAGTTTGGGAAAGAAAGCTTGAATCAGTAAGAAAATAATCCTGACCATAATCATCCAGGACCTCAGAAACTATGGACAGATGGTGTTTAAAAGTCCTATGGTGTTTGAAAGTCCTACATGTAAAATGAATTAGTAATGGTGGCAAAGGTTAACTAATGTTTTAAGTGTTGAGGACTGTTTTGTTTCAAAGAGGACTCAATGAGCAACAAGACAGAGTAGCTATAAAACTGCTGGCAGTGAATATGAGACTCTCTTTTAGGTATTTACATTTCAAAGACAATTGGCCAAATTCTGTTCTCAGTCCCTTCTGTATGAATTTGGAGTAATTCTAGGAAGTTAATGGATTGCTGCCATGGAAGTGAAGAACAGCATTTGGCCCTATGAAAATCCAGGGGGATTAAACCTGTGAATCCTACTTCTTGCTAAAATATCTGAGGAAAGCATGAAGTTGATATGACTAACTTAATTATCAGTGTTCAGTCAGACAATTGCTGCCAGAACATTAATGAACTCAGAAACCTAAAGCTGCAAGATAAACTTCAAAGCTCAATACATTTTAACATTATTATTTTTAAAAAATTAGTGTCAGCTTATTAAGGTCTGTAAAATCACGGTGCCTGCATCCTGAAACCCCTCTTTGGAAGTCTGCATTCTCTGTCCCACTCCTCTTCATGAGTTCTTTGTCTGAACTGCTGCCTTATCTCAAATTGAAAAGCCAAGGAGAAGGAAAAGCAGTTGCAAAGCACAGAACACGACCCCAACTGCTGTGTGATAGCAGGGGGATGTTCCCATCTGGTGAAGGAGGAGAGCAAAAGGTGCTTGTGAGATGTTTGCGTGGTTTTTCATGTTTTTTTCTCCCTACAGTTTGCTAAAAACCCAGTTTAGCTTACTTGCATCTCATTACATTGTTTTTTGATTTCTTGTGGCAGCCTGAGAATATCCTGTGTGTGAACCGTGCAACAAATAAAATAAAAATTATTGATTTTGGATTGGCAAGAAGGTACGTGCATTTATTCTTGCTAATTATAAATTAATTAGGAAACAGTGAAAAAAAGTATTGCATCTCTACAGTGACATATCTGATACACAGTGGTCTCCTACTGAGAAATTTGATGTGTCTCTTTAAACCAGGGATATATTTTAATATGGAATCGGAGCTGAATAAAAAAAAAATAAATATTTATTTTGAAGCCTTTATTTTCAGCTAGAATGCTTAGGGAGAGCTGATTCTGCCTAAGATTGCACCTAAGTCTCTTGGAACACCTAAAATGGACAAACACACTGGTATGTCTTGTCTGATCTCTTGTCTGCAATGTTAGGAGATTCTTCAAAAGAAAGCGCAAGAGACCACCAGGGGCTGTTACAATATATCCCAAGCTGTATCACTTTCTAGTTTAATTAGGTACCATAACTTCAGTGAAGGATTTACTGGGTAAAAATTCCATGCCTGTGATATGGAGAAGTCCCAAAAGAATGATAACAGCTGCTCTGAGGAGTCATTGAAATCTGAATATCTTCCTTTGTATAACAGTTGTGTTTTGCCTTAAAGTATGACATAAAGCTTGCAAACATTTTCATTCTATATATAGGTATATTTCTTTTTACTTTATGCCTCTGTCTGTCCTTGTTTTCCTGCTGGATTTCCCATATGCTTCTGAAATCCCCCTAAGTGCTAGACAGCTTATGGTGCTACTTTAATTAGAGCTGTAACTGATGTCCTCTGTTAATCTTTCCGTTTCCTAGGTATAAACCCAGGGAAAAACTTCGAGTTAACTTTGGGACTCCAGAATTTCTTGCTCCTGAAGTTGTGAATTATGACTTTGTCTCCTTTTCTACAGACATGTGGAGTGTAGGAGTCATTACTTTTATGCTGTAAGTAGGATTCAGTATCTCCTTTGTAAGCTGTTTCTAGTTTGAACTATGTCAGTCATCCAGATGTGTTGTTATACTGGAAGATTGACAAAATCTGTACCAAAAATAGAAAATGTAGGCTACTTTCCAAAATCCATATTCAGTAATCTTTCCTCTTTCCCAGTCACCATGAGCTTTTCTTCTTTGTGTCATTTCACATCTCTCATTACTGTTTGAACATCACAATTCCAGAATAATGTACACTTCCTGGTAAGTTCCCAGTGGATATGTGCAAGGGTGGTGAGAGTTCTCAAAAATACAACCCACCATGAAGGACAGTAATGCTTGGTTTGTTAGGGAAGAAGGGTGATTATTTAAATATGTAAATAGAAGAGAGAATGAGAATGGTCTGGAGACTTTCTTAGACAATAATATAAGATAGGCCATAATAATAATAACCATAGGTAATGCATTGGAGATCATATACAGGATGGGGAAAGACAGGAGGATTGAGCATATTTCTTTTTACTTTAGCCTCAGTGGATTGTCTCCATTTTTGGGGGATGACGACAACGAGACCCTCAACAATATCCTGTCCTGTAGCTGGGATTTTGAAGATGAGGAATTTCGAGATGTTTCTGATCAGGCCAAAGATTTCATCTCAAAGCTTCTCATCAAGGAAAAATGGTATATAATCCTTGAATCTTAGAAATGTGTGTTCCATGCTGTTATGTCACTTATACTGCTTCACTGGAGAACTATCATGACAAAGTGTTCTATGTCTGCATAAAATATTATGAGAATGCCATTTCATTGTTGTTGCTCATGATGTCCATAAAATGATCTGAAGTCATCTGAGTGTCTTTTTGCTGTGAAACCAGACTTTATGGATTAGCTGCCATTTGGCTAATGTCCTGAAATGACAGCATTGCATGATGGCAGAACACATGACCTGTAGGAAATGCTTGTTGAATTGTAAAATTCTAGGAAAAACACTTAATCGCATTCTGGTTTTCCTTTAGCTGGAGAATAAGTGCAACTGCTGCCTTAAAACACCCATGGTTGACAGACCACAGGCTCCACTGCAGACTCCAGGTCCCTAAGTGTTAATATCCTTGTGCATTGTGGATCTGCTGTTGCCTTCTTTTGTTGCCACATCAGTATTGGCTTTGTTTTTGAGTCCTCCTTGCTGCTGTGTTTGTTGTCACTGTGAGCCACCTCTGTCCCTTTGTTTTTATTTAGCTGTTATAACTCATGCTCACACTTGCTCATCAGATCTTGCATGTCTGGGAAGAAATATATGGTCATGCCATCTCTATATGTTGAGAAGTGGATGCATTTCTTGGCAAAATGAGACTGTTTGCAAAACAAGCACTGAATTACCATAGGAAAAGAGTTTTCCAGCTGTGGATGGTTCAGCTTCCAGCCTTGAAAACCCATTCAGGCTCTCTCTGGAGTTCCCCATGAGTGCTATTAGATTTCATCCTATCTCTTCCCAAGGGATACCTTTCCCAGCAGAGACTCTGCCACTGCACATCTTTGTACTTAAGCACCTTCCTGCCCTTCGAGGCTAGCCAGCTTAGTGGTCAGTATGAAAGAAGCAGTTGTCTGTTCACACAAACAATTCCACTGGGCTGAGTTGGAGGATCAACTTTTTTAAAATCAAGATTTTAAATTGTTTTGAATATTCCTCTGTTAAGTAGTCAGTGAGTTTGAGAGATTCACACTGTTAATGAGATTGCTGCTGGCTGAAGCTAAGTGAGTCCACTCTGTGGTTCAGTGGTTCCTGAGGGGATAATTTTAAGCAGGTTTCAGAATATTTTCAGCATTTGTAGTGCATATTCACTTCCTCCTGTGCAGGCAAAGCACATTTATATTAAATAAAATGAGTACTGCATTGCCTGGGATGTCAAGGTGTCTTTTGAACTACAGCCATAATTAAGAGTTAAGAGTCCATAGTATTAAATAATAAAATAATTTTATAAAGGTACAAGCAAAGATTATAAGAAAGCAGTAGTAGCTCTGCTGATGAGATGATGTAGGTTCTGGGCAGGATGTGTCCTGGAAGCCTTGTCCTTGTGAAATGTTCCTGTTAATAATGTAAGTAAGGATAATAAGTATTGTAAAATGGTAAACAATAACAATAAAAAATTGTTAAAATTTTCATTGAAATTTAGTTTTGGTTACAATCTTCCAGAACAATAATGCCCATGAGATTATTAGAAGATTTTGAAGTGTTCATACACAGTAAAAATAAGAGAGTTTGTCAGAGGTAAGAATCTGTTTAGAGGGTTTCATAGGATACCGTTTGACTCCTTTACTTGGGCTCCAGTGAAGCTCTGATTCTGCAACCTGGGGAATAGGCTGTCTTTTCCAAATGCTGCAAGAACGTGGGCTGCTTACATGCTGTGCTGCTTCCTATCACCAATTTTCTGCTAGGGAAACCTTACTCTAATAAGAAACCTTACAAATCTCATCACTCTTTATAGCTTCTCTCCTGGTATCTTGTGCTTTACAAAAATAGCTTAACTAAACATGCAGGTGTTGCAGTGTTCTGCCACTACCTTAACTAGAAGTAAGATGTGATTCATCTTCAATTAATGCTCCAATAATGGTATTTTTCCTTTTGTGTTTTTCTTTTCCCCTAGAAGAACATTAAAGGTGTCCCCCGAGCACCCCCAGCTAAATAACCTCTTTGGAGGAGCTGCCAAACAGAAGGTTTGTTTCGGGTCCCAAGTGTTCCTTCAGATCTAAATACTGTAGCCCCTGTGGGAAGGGATCAGTGGGCAGCTGAAAACCTTGTGCAGTCCAGAATGCACCATCCAAACTGTATTCACCACCACCATTCCTGTTGTTTTTGGAAAGCATTCAAAATGTGAACTGGCCCTATCACTTATACCAAGTTGTAGCAAAGTGAAAAAAATCATTTATATTAAGCCATATGTGCTGTAAACCATGGCCATTTGAGAGGGAGTAGTTATGCTCCCACTGGCTCTCATGGGGCAGGATTTCACCCAATAATTTTTCAGTGTTGAAAGCTTCCAGGTTTTCATGCTGTGGTTAGAAGCACGGTTTAGAAAGGGTAGAAATATGAAAAGTAATTACTTTTTAGCGAAGGTGCAGGCCAGACCCTCAGGGCAGCTCCACTAACTGTAGTGAAACAAGAGAGGAGTCCCAGAGAGGCTGCTCCACACTTTTGAGGACCTGATTCGGGCAGGGCACTTCTCTACCATTTTAGCAACCCAAAGAATTTTGACAGACTGTCTTTCTCTGTCCTGCCTCTCTTTTGCCCTTTCATTAACAAACACTTCATTAGTGGTTCTCAGGCTGGCTTGATTTCCTTCCCTGGGGATCAGGGAGACTCCAGTTTGCTCTCATGTTCTGTCTCTGGTCTTTTGACCAAAGCCTACTCCCTCAGCCACTCTGAAATCAGGCTACCTCCAGCAGCCACATATCTCCATAAACCAGTAACCAATTCCCTCAGCCCCTTTTACCAACTACCGCAGAAGTTGGTGCCTCTGTTGAAGAACCATGGGAACCACTCAAAGGTTCTGGGGCAAAACTCAGTGGGGTCAAGATGTGAACGAGGCTGAGAACACACACACTGCAAAACCACTTCCTTTTAGTCGTGCGTCATAAGTAACAACCAGGATGCCAAAGTAAAAGTAGTTAACTTTTCACCACAAGTGAGTTTTTAATGCTGCCATCATCCATCATCTGCTTGGTAGGGCTAGTGATGTACTGGGTTTTTGGTTGCAATATGTTTTGTCCAGAAACCTGTAAAAAAGCAACTATTGTGAGAGGCTGAAGTTTTTGCTCTGTTTTGACTAAATAGAATTAGAACAGATTTTATACAATGTAATGTAGTAACACAGAAGTTAATCATCTTTGAATGAGCTGTCTAGAGGATGTGAAGCTGCCTTTCCATGATACACTGGAGGACAGTTAGGGCCACGGTACAATTATTGTATCCCATTTGGTCTCTGACAGTTAGGGCCACGGTACAATTATTGTATCCCATTTGCTCTCTGAAGCTGATATGGTAGTGTCTGAGCATCGACTTCTGTAGTGGGAATCCAGTGGGAATGAATACCTCTTTGTGATCCTCAGCGTTCACCTCCACTTCACTGGTGCTGGAACAGGACTGCTTTGGTCCACTCATCTGTGTGCCTCTACACAGTAGTTTTCTAAAGAGGTTTTCCTGAGCTGTTATAAGACTAATGTTTTTATCTATTTCCCATTTCAAGCCACTAACTGCACAGCAACCAAATGGTGTAATTTATCCCTCTCTAATGCAGGAAGCACTGTATTACATGGTTTTCTTTTACAACCAAAATCAACTATCAACTGTGAGATAAATTGACTGTCCAACAGCAGTCAAAATTATTTTTAAATAAACTTTTTATAGCTTTGTAACATAGTAACCTACCCATGATCTAACCTGCAGGAAAACCTGGTTTTGGCTTTTGCAGTGTTATTTCCTCTGTGTGTGTTTTTCTTTATGGAGTTTATTTGAGTTTACTTAATGAGTGGATCTAAAGTCATAGCAGTGCTTTGTTTTTAAATAATCCCTTTAGCTATTTTTATCAGGCAAGTAGTACAGTTACCACATTTAACCCAAAATAATACATTCAAGTGCCAGTTGATTTAGGCCTGGCATCATAAATGCTTGCAGTGGTAGCACAAATAAATGGAGAAGTTTTCAGCATGTCTTTTCATTCTGGATGACAAGAAAGGCAAAGAAGTAGAGTTGTTGCATTTCAAGAGCCATGTCCAGGACCATTTGTCCATTAACAAAGAGGTCTTGTTATTTTAATATTGTATAAAACATCTCACAAATAAAGTGGCTGCAAGAATCCTTCGTAAGCAAGAAGCTTACAGAGCTGCTTTCTTTTCCTTGTGCACAAAGAAACCACCATGTGGTTGTCCTAGAATGCTTAACCAAATGAAAAAGTATACTGCTGAATTAACTGGATTCTTGTTTTGTTTATTTTGCAGAAAAGCTGCTGTGTGGTTACTGCTGCTAAGAGATTTGAAAATATCAGCAGTCTTGGTGCTTTACCCCCCTGTCTTGACGGAGACTTCAACTAAATGGACCAACAGCACTTCAGCTGCAGGACAAGTCCCAGCATTGCTGAGCTGCTTCTCCTCTGTTCAGCTGTTGAAAGAAGGAAAGTATTTCTCCAGGTTGCAGGAAGGTCTTTTTTTCTGGAGCACCATGTTCTCCATGTCTGAGAATGCTACATTAGCTTGGATTCGTAACGAACTTTATCTTGTCTGACATCCCCATTTACTTATCAAAGGCTCATTAAGCTTCAAATTATCAGGTTAAATTGACTGTTCCTCATCTCAGCACGGAAAGCAGTCTTTCACTATGTTATATCTGTAGGCAAGGTTGATTTGACACTGGAGTAAAATAATAATAATAATAATAAAAATGCAGCCAATTTAAAGCTGCCTTATGTAGAAGATTTGAAGTTTGTTTTTCCTGTCACACTAAAATGAGCTAAGGATTAGCTCAACCAAAGTTAATGCCATGTTAATGTAACACCAATGCAAGTGAAAAATGAGGCTTTCCTTGCACATAGGTGAATTTGCTGCAAGTGTGATATGATGCATTTTAGGATTTTTTAGCCTGATGAATTACTGTTCACTTTAAATACTCTTGGATGAGTTAAACAAGAAAGAAAACAAGGCAGTATTTGCTTATACCCATGCAGTCTCTGTTCTCCAATATGCAAGTATAATTCAGTGTTATTTTAACAGAGTGATTTTATACCAGCTAATTTGTTTAATGCAAATGATGATTAAGACCACTGGCAAAGGAGTCAGTCCTCTGCTCATTACAACCTCCACGTACAGGCCATAAGAAAATTTTCTGGTTTTCTAAAGTTTTCTTTTTTTTCTCTTGCTCCCAAGCCTTTCTCATTCTGAACTAGATAAAAAACTGGGAGTCAGAACAGCTGAATTCTTTACCTGAGATTGTTTGAGTATGGCTTGTCATTAAGTGACACAGCCTAGGCTGTGAGGTTACAATAACGAGACTTTTTCCTTTCTGTATATGACTTTCTGACTACTTGGTTTCAGAACTACATAAATACAAACTATAT